GGCACCACCGTAAATGCTGAAGATGACTGGATATCCTCCGGTTAGCTGGAAATATTCTTTTGGTATAAATTTTTGATGATATAACACAAAAATTATTGCATAATTTCAAAGGTCGTGAAAACGGAAACCTTACCAATTACTTCCTAATTTAATCGATTATTAAAATTTTAATTAAAAAAACAATCAAATAAAAGAGTTCTTCTACCATTTTCAATCATCTTTTAATTCTTATGAAAATGTGCCCTCATGCTCCATTATTTTGTTAGTTTTGGGGATTTAAACAGTTCATCTTCATATTCTTCCTCTCAGCTTCTTCTTTCAATCAGCTTCTGCTCTTCGAGACAACTACAGCGTCCAGATCATAATAATCCATCTCTTCCAGCAGCTCGTTGTAAACCAATTTCCATAGAGAGGGACCAAGAACAGAGCCCTGTGGGCAATCTCTTTCCAGAGTCTTCTCCTTCAAAGAAGTTACTATGTACTTTCAATGTCCAGTCCGAAGAGTAGCTCCTCAGTAGTTCATACAAGTTGCTATGGCTCTCATACTTATGCAACTGCTTGAAGATGCTTACGTACCTATCACTATCGAAGATGAAGGATATGTCAATATGAAGAAGCAAAAGATACTTCTCTGCCATCACATCTTGTGGTTGCGGTTTCCTGGAGTTACCAGTCTTAGGTTGGATCACGAATACTTACAACTAATTTTCTATTAATGTATGTCCATGAATTTTACCGAATACGCCTGGTATCAGAAATTAATCTTTGTTTTGGTTTATTATTTTCAATAATCAACCATTGTGATCGACCAAAAAATTCAAAAACTTAATCCCCTTTCAAAATTTGAGGTTTCACATTTCAGGACGCGTAGAATTCGAAAAACGAATAAAAAAATTGTTGTCCGTCCGCCGTCCGCGCATTTTCTCCGAAATTACTGGACCGATTTTTTTCAAATTTCGATATAAAATCAGAGGTCACCCAAGGATGATCCTCCTTCATCGACATTACCATCCGCCTTTGACTTTCAAAATGACGGCCGAAAAACCTGCGTTGCTATAGACTGTAGCTCCTAAACGAATGTACCGATTTCTTGACGCCCTTTAAATTTATCTACATAACATACTTCAACGAAAAGAAGCTGGAAAAAAAAGTTACGAGGGATGATAAAATTAAATTCCGAATAACTCGAATTTTTTTGACTTTTTTGTCAAAATTGTTTATAGTTTTTTTAAAGTTTACGAAATTTCCTAAAAAAGAAAAAAAACATCGATAAAATCGGACAATTAGGAGCAAAGATATGGTCTCCGGTTTTTTTTATATGTTCTTCTCCAAATGTTATATCCTTGGTTTGGTTTTTAAATTTTGAAGGTGTTACTGAACTAATGCTTTTTTTTTGTAGCATATTGATGATTAAAGAAAATGATTTAAAAAAAAAAAACAGTTTAGTCCAATAATTGGAATCATCTTTTGTTTTTTTTTCTTCGTAACTCGGAAGGTAATGTTACTTTAGATGTATAATTGTTTGGAAATAATAAACCATTGTGAAATAATTTGCAGCGTTTTTATATTAAGTTTGCTTTATCTTATTCAGAATTATTTTAACGAAGGGAATCTAAGAGAGCCCTTTTAATGATTGCTTTCAGGTCTTTTGTTGGTTTATTTTATTCCATTTCCACCTTATAATCTATAAAAAAGAAATTCTCGATCCTCTAATCTGGTTGTAACAACCGGCATTAACATACATTATTAGATGCAGACTTGTATTGTGTACTATGTTATATTTTATATTTGTTTCCATCCTAAATTCTGTTCCCCGGAGGTAGAGAACACAATGTCCATTTTTTCATTAAATAATTTAACTACGAAGAAACAAATTTTAATAACTCCAAGTTATGAAAAATTGGCTCAATGTTCTTCACCACCGGGCTACAGATTTAGTAACAATGAAACAAATGTAGCTCAAAGTTATGGAATATTGGCTCCTCTAAAAAAATACAAAAATGGACATGTTGTTTATCTCCGGGTACAGAATTCATGATTATGATGAGCCGATATATTTTTTTAAAAATTGTATTCAACTATCTGTGTTTTTATTTCATAATAAATTTTAGTATTTTATTTCGTTATAGTATGTCGCTAGTAAACCCAAGAGATGTTTACTTTTAAACATGTACCATTTTGCGGCGAACTTGTGAGCTTGAAATTTAGTTAGCTTATCAGAAATCTATAAATAACTGAATAATATCAAACTGAGCTTACGTTGGGTGAGAAAACGTTGAGATAAAGACAGTCTTCTTGTCCCCCATCTGGCGAGAAGCATGGTGGGATGGGTTGAGTAGCGTCTAATATTCCTGTCCAGTTATCAGCTTTCTCAGAAATCTAACAATAAAATAAATAAAAACTGTTAAGGATCTCTTATAACTTAAATATGTGAAAGAAAATAATTAAATTAAATTTAAAGAAGGTTGCAATAACTAATCATAACAGATTTTCAACTTCTACTCCCTCTTTTTTAAGAAAAGGGTTTGCTCAGAAACAAAATGATAAAGGGATCGAAGTTCCAATGAGATCTGGAATATTTGCAATGAGAAGACAATAACAGATTGTGTGTGGATCCGACTAGTCTTATTCTAAAATAAAAAATATGGTGCGTACAACACACAACTTTCACTTACCACTAAACTTCGAATAGAAATTATTTTCTGGCCATGTTGGCCATATTAAAGGAACTTTAGAGCAATACGCATATGAACATTGGGCATTTAAGCCCTGTAAAGTGACATCAACGGGGATAAGACCTAAATGATATTAGAGACCATTTAATTATACAATGATACAACACCGAGTTTAATAAAAATCGTTAGAGCCATTTTTGAGAAAATTGTTAAAAATAGGTTTCACCGTTCATATAAAGCTGCATTTCCAGTTAGCCGATCTTAAGGAAAATGTTACAGTCACGTCCAAGGCATATACCTATCTTAAATATGTAATATCAGTTTCGTTCGACTTTGCGTTTTTGAGCTAGACTGCTAACATACACACACACAGACCATTTTTCGGGACTTGGTTATTTGGACTCAAGGTACCTCAAAACGTGTATTTCCGTTGAAAACTCAAATTCAAAAATTTTCACGATCGCAATATTACATATATACGTAAGTGAAAGTAAAAGTATAGCGTGTACTTTAGGCCACTCGATAGAAGTGAAAAAATCAACAAGGCGATTTTAATAATATGAAATATAAATTTTGTTTTTCTTCTTGCCTTCTTGCCTCTCTAACATAGCGTTAAGGTACATCCCGTTAAGATACAATTTTGAATAATAGCTCATTATGAATAAGATTAAGTTCTGAACAATTCCCTCGCTTACGCTATGGCGCACAATGGAACGAGTAAGGGAAAACTCGCGACATCGGCTAAATCTATTTTTATTTTTTTTCAACTGATCTATTCAATAAAAACAGTGAAAAATGTATATTCTGCCAACTGAAAATATTCTCCGGAATTTGATGAAATTCACAACGTATCAATAGAACAGTTTATCTAGTTTTTGGAGTAAAAAAAAAAAAAAAAATTTAGCCTAAGTCTAGAGTTTTCCCTTACTCGTCCTACTGTGTGCCGATCAGATTTTTAGTTTTCAGTATTTTTTAATCCATATGGTCACCAAAACTCTTTATTATTTTTTTTCAACCCTATCTTTTCATAAATAAATGAAAATTAATGAATATATAATTTATTTATGACCACACAGACATGCAATCTGTACTTATAATTTGTTCTGAGGGGACAACAGTCCCTGAATAATATAATATATTTTTATTTATTTATCTTTTTCTGCAGTTACAATTTTGAATAATAGCTCATTACTAGGAAGATGAATGATTTCTCCTCTTACAGTATTACCCACAGTGCTACGAGTAACGGAAAACTCGCGACATGGGCTGTATCTTTTTTTTTTAACTAATCAATAAAAACAGTAGAAAATGTATGTTCTGCCAACTTAAAATATTCTCGGGAACTCCACAAACTACACAAGGTATCAATAAAACAGTTTATCTAAGTCTACATCTATTATCTAGTTTTTTGAGTTCTAAAAACAAATAAATTTAACCGATGTCGCGAGTTCCCCCTTACTCATCTAACAGTATGCCGACCCGATTTTTAGTTTCTAATATATTTTAATCCATATGTTCACCAAAACTCGTTATCATTTGGTTTTCGACACTATCCTTTTCCTTTTTGCTTCTCTAACACGGCATTTTTTTTTTATTTATGCGATATTAAGTCCTGTAAGTTATTGATATTGGTTAGATGAGCAATAATTCAGCTGCTCAACGGTTGTAGATACCTTGAATTTTGGAGAAATTCCAATGAATTTATGAATGCATTAGTTAATAAAAGGAAAACTAAAATAAACAAAAAAACAATTCCAAACATTTATAGAGTTAATTACTTTAAAAATTAATTTTTAAGACTTGTATAAAATACTCTAAAAATAACCTGGCTTGTTTTTTTAACACAAAAATTTACTTTGATTACTTTAAGGAAGTTTATTTTGAATTTTATAAATTCTTATACATTTGAGTAAATTTAAAAAATATTTTTTCTTTATTTTAAACAAGCAAAGAAATCGACTGGGTGGTAGATAATGACCTTAAAACCCATGTATAGCATAGGCAAAAATCAATGAAAATTATAATTTTTTGTTGTTGTCTTTTGAGAAATAAACATATTGTAACCACTGTAGCAGAAATAAAAACGTAATGAAAAAACAAAAATGGCATTCTTTTACATGTAATAGACTTGACTAAAGGGTACTCACCATGAACCTCCGCTCTCCGACAGGTGGCTTAGCGTAAGGTATCCTGGTGAAGGAGAAGAAGTCCCTTCCATCTCTAGACTTGAGGACCTGCCCCTTCATGGTACCATAGGAGGTGGTGACCTGGGGGTTCTCTCCTAGGACGAGGTGTCCCAAGGCCGCCACACACAGCACGACTCAGCATTGTCCTCGAATATTGGGCACTGAATACAGTACACTTATATCTGCAATACAATACGTTCTGTATCTATCTCATATATATACAGTACTTATCTTTTTATCTTTATCGGTCGTAATGAACGGCAAACATAGACCAATTCATTGAATCTTAATTTGGAGCAAACAATTCAACTGGACTTCAGTTATTGCACGATTCCCCGCAAATTAAAAAAAACAAAGAAGGTAAAAACGTTAAGTATTATTCTGATTTCCCAGTTTGGATGAATGGAGCCTAACATTAATCTATATTTTATAATAAAAATTAAATTTGTACGAAGCAAATCTTGATTATGTGTTGCACAATGTTTTTAGTAGTGTAGCATAAATAAGTCTCTTGTTATATTTCCTGTAGGTGAGTGAACCATTTGTTCTCCACGCTACCGCACTGAGATTGAAAATAAAAATTGTAAAGGGAAGAGTCTTTATTAAAACTTTTTAAGATCATAAAGTGGAGGAGGGATGGAGAACTATTATCTAATACTAGAACTATTGACTAAGAGAATTATTAAAGGTGGGAAAATAATTAAAGGATGGGGGGACGATTTTATTATTTCGTAATTAGCTTCTTTCCGAGTGCTGAAATGCTAACAATCAAACTCTCACATTTAATAAATTTTTGCTGAAGGGATCTATGAGAAAGTGCCCAGACGACCTCTACACATAGGTACACCTTCACAAGAAACTCCTATCATACAAATTTTAGTTCTCTTACGCCATTCTTTGTCACATAATTATTCTAATTATTTTGAAGCATAGCTCTTTTATTTTAGGAACCTTTTTTTTCTCTTATATTTTTGTATAATCACTGTGTACCACAAAAATTTCTCAATTCTACATTATGTCATTGATTTCATGAACTATAAAATGGAATTTCATGGTTCTGTTGAAACATTTAGAACATGTACATATTTCTAAATATATTATTATAAATACAGAAAATAGTTATATATAGTATTTAGATGTAGCGTGCATTGACACAGTGCCAATGCAATCTACCGGAAAAAAAGTTAATTAAATTAAATACTACTTACTTTGTTTTAAAAAAAAAAAAAATATATATATATATAGCAAATTCTTTTGTACACAATTAAAATACATTGTGACTAAATGTAAAATATTTGGAACCCGGAAAAAAAAAGTATGCCACGTAAGGCCAGTATTGCTCCCTCACAATTTTATTGGTTTCACAAAACCTAGATTTCTAAGTATATTATTTTTATTTCCGAAATAATTCTTCGGGAAAAGTCGTTTCTAGAATACTGTTATTCCTCAACATTCATGGATTTGACATTTGAGAGTTTTGATCATCAGCTAGTACAAAAATGCGGGATAGTTCCATTTCGTATTTGTCTATTCGTTATCACAAAATAAATTCACCCATATAAAACAATCTCCAGTACATTATGTATGTGCGTGCATATTGACATATACATATGCACATAATGAGCATGTTTATACTCTCTATGGATCAAATAATATCATTGAAAAATTGATAAAACTCATGTTTAAAAATAAATCTGCGTTTTCATCCTTGTAGGCCTTCATAAAAACTATTTACATTTCAGATACGCGTGATTTTTCTGGTGAATTTGCAGTGGTTATAGCAAATATTGTCTAGTAAAAAGTATGTAGGTAGTGTAGTAGTAGTAGGTTCATTTAAAAAAAAAAAACCTAAACTTGGATGTATGAAATCTATTATTTTTATACTTATCCCTGTTAATCATTATAAATATTGGGTCTCCACTTTCAATGTTTATTGTCATGTTTGCTTAAATTTTATGATTTTCTTTGGACTAATTCTTATTTTTCAAACTAAAAATACTTATAGTCCGTGGTACATTCCCTTATTATCAAATTACTAACATCCGTGCATAACTTCATATTATCAGGAATTACAAATATTTTATTTTATATAATGTTCAGAATTGGGGCGTTTTCAATCTGGAGGTCGGCAAACTTTGTCTATGTATTAGATACTAAATTTTCTTTTTCTTTTTAATTTTTATACCCATATTCTTTCCACTTGAATCATAACCTCAGCTTAAAGTCGAGAAAAAAGGTGGCCTTCAAAAATATTGAATATTGGTCTACACCCTTAAATCGTCAAAATAACGAGGTTATATAGGTCAAACTGTCCAATATTTTTGTGGGCTACCTTTTTTTATCAATTTTGTGATAAAATTATTTTACGATCCAAATAGAAAATAAATGGGCATCTACGAGTTTTTATTATCCAATTAAATGCACAAACCTTGCCGACCTCTAGATTGAAAACGCCCCAAATCCCTAAAATTTTCGTAAATAAAATATTTGTAGGTTATAATGAGATGAAGCTATTTACGAATTTAAAGCCGGATGTTAATAATTTGATTAAAGTGGATTTGTACCATTTCAAACACATGTCTAATCTTAATTTATTTTAATTTTTAAAAAAAATTTTCATTATCGATGGTTGGACTTATGCCCCTCTGTTGATCAGCTTGGCCTTGCCAGCCTACTATACTACTGTGGCGTAATAATTCGCGAAAATGGAATTTAATCACAATGTATATAATAAGAAAAGAAGTAAGATTTGATTGATTTAAAACAGTAATATATATATATAGTTAATATACTGTATATAGTTTGTCAGTAATTATTTCCGATTATTCTTTCAAAGGACGTCGTTAAAGACGGGTTATTTTTAAACATTGATAGATGAGAAACGTCTACTTGCCTTGAATTGAATCCACTGTCGTAAATTGGAACGGTTGAAGCACCTTTGGAAATCAGCATCACACTCCTTTAGGACCGTGCGACCTTGTGGATGGAGAACACTTAGTCATGGGTTTGACCTGAAGGTTACACCTGTGTAATTACAGGAAGAGCTTCAACGGAGTTGCGCAACTAGTCGAAAATAATAATTTTGTTTCACAATAATTCACAAAATCGACATTGCCATATCCAAAAACTAGTGTTGCAAGGCCGCCTAACTGTTGCAAGACCAAGACCAGGACTGGTAAAAAAAATCGATGTTTTTAACAAACAATTAATCCAAAATAGTTACTAGTACTCGACAATCGTAGTCACTATATGTAAATAATTGATATATGCATTTAATTCCTCTAATTTTTCATTTAGGCTTAGTTCGGTTTCTCCTATCTACGAGATACAGTAATGTAAGACTGTTGCGAGATTCTTGTGCAAGACCAAGACCATGACCAAACTGAGTTTGCAAGACCAAGACTCGTCTGGGTCTCGCATTTTGGCAACGCTACCAAAATACTGAGAACATGATATATAAACATCTTAATCATTTAAGCACTTTTTGAAATCAGCAAACGATACAAAATTCTATAGATAATAAATGAGAAAAGAACCCTGCAAATTATTACACAATGGTTTATTATTTCCGAACAATCCGAATAAGGTAGAGTCTCAAATCACGAATCCATAAATCCAAATAGGCTTTATAATAGTTATGTAAATGAGTTTTTTAAAAAGATAATTGGCATTGTGGAGCGTTTCTCTAGTAGGTGTAAAAAGGTAATGAAAAAAAATGGAATTGTCTTACACGTCATCGACTTATTGTAAATATCTAGCAGTTTCTTATTTCAGTCTGGTATGAGGATCTGGACTTATTCCAGACGATGTCCTGGGCTGCGATTCTGTTCATCTGAGATAAGTAAAGCATTATTAAAAGAGACTGCTGGATAGAAAGTCATAGGTTTATAGGGAAGAGTGAATGATATTTGATGGGATTTGGTTAAATATATGTTAATTCTCCTATTTCGACACAATTCCTCAAGATTTGTGACGTGTGACCGAATGGTCCGGGAGAAAATAAATAGGCCATTATTAACTGATAACATACTTGTGTCAGCATATGTGGTAATGATAGTTTTTGGACAAGTTGGAAAGTCAGCTGTTTAAACTCTGAAGGGGATGGGACCGAAGATACTTCTTTGAGAAATACTAGCAGACTGAGAAAAGAGCTCCATTATGGTTTTCTTTGAGCGATCTGTGTGGGACGGATAACGAGAAAGTATGTTGTGGGAAAGAATTGACGAAGTTTGTAAAACAGTCATGGGTGCCAGACTTGATCAAATGCCTGTTCAAAATCAAGAAAGAATACCGTTCAGTGCAACCCGCGGTCCAAAGGAGTATTTAATATGCTTAAATGATAGTTACCTAAATTTTAAAGTACTGGCAGTAGAAGAACTCGACCTTCTGACCTTTACAACCCATTTCACAGATCTGCTTTATTCTGAAGCTTCTTTGTCGCCCGCTCTGCCATTATCTGGAATTACCTACCAACTAAAATTTCTCCTTGAAGTTATTTAAAACCCTGCTATTCCAACGTATGTTCCAAAAACAGTTATCTGCTAACCTTTTACAAAGTAACAATACTCTGTTATAATTATTTATAGTTGTTTTATCGTATATAATAACGATCTCTTGCTCTCGATGCTACCCAATAAATATATTTTTTTGTTTATACTTAAATTCTTACTAATCCTTTTTTTATTATTGAAATTTACAACTGTATTAAATGATAAATACAACAGGTAAATATGAAACAACTAACATGGCATATACAACATGAAGAGAAACTAGCCATTGGTAGCACTCCAATCATATTTATATATTAGATGTTCCCGAGGCCATCTTCTTTTCAGACGCCTCAGAGGGTTATCAGGAATAGAAGAGAAACAAGGTTGGAAACAAGAGGGTTCTGGTGTTTACTAATCTAAAATTAGTAAATCATCATACTCTTCATATGGCGTATTTACATGTTATAAAACATTTACTTTCTATGTCCGATTGATATTTCTGTATTTGGATTACCTTCTTTCTCTCGTTCTCTTGAAGAATGTAATATAATTTTTTAATTCCTCTTTCTTTATATTTCTTAGAAGTAAACATGAATACTGTACCATTTTCAATTGATTTCGTATATAATATCAAGTATTTTGTCTATGTTATATATAGTTGGTTTAGTTGATATATCTGTTTATAAAAATAAATTGTCATTTAAGTTATTTCATATTTAAGGGACTGGAACCAACTTAGTTATTTCATTATTGACAAGAGACTTTTAATAACTATTAAAATGTTCATACAAATAAGCTATCATAATCAAAGCTGAAAATACTAGAAACTAGACATTTAATGGGTCATCAATGCTGTTTTATTAAACAAAAATCTAGATAAATAAAGACTAAAAATAAAATAAAATAAGCATTAATATGTGTTATAGTACAATGTATGAATGCGCAATATTGTTCAAGGTCATTTTTTTCCTCAATACGTTAGGTACTCAATGATACTCTTAAACCATCGAAAACAGTATTGTTAACATCATTTTAAGATATTAATTTAACAAAGTGAATTAGAGCCACTATAAATAATTAAATTTAACTAATTGTTTTTACTCATTTTTTTATTTTTTTTTTAGTACGCTTCATCTTGTGTTGAGTCGGTAACTATTATAGTTTTAATCATTAAAACGAGATTTTCTTTGTCGTGAATTATTTTCCCTTATAAAAATGGCAAATGATTTTTTGAGACTGATCTTTCAGATTTAGTTTTATTTATATATTAGTCAATCAAATCCTGACGTAACATTAATTTTCTGTTATGTGTTTGCTTTGCAATGAGCGAATTTTACTTAAAGGCTTCATAGCGTTCCATTACAGAATACTAATGATCTCAGCAGTTCTCTTGATCACCGCAAATGTAATAGTGATTTTGCGTTTAAAAATTCTGTCTGCGGATTCATGTTGAAGGCCAGTCTTTGGTGAAAGTTGTTGTAATTTTAATTAGTGTATCTAAAATTGTTGGCATGTTTAAGTCCTATTTAGGCTTATATAAATGAATAACTACCCATAAAAGGGTCCACAAAAAAAGATCATAACTTTATTTTTCAGGAAACCAAATAAACTTTAGCTTTATACCAAGTTGGCATCAAAAACTGAAAAAAAAAATGGAGTTATAATATTTCTTCATGATCCATTCATATATAAATTCATGACAATTTTAAACCACTTGGCGATCCTAGTTGCATATTAATATTCTCCGAGAAAAAAAATTTGAAAAATCTGTTGGAATTTCAAGTACTCATTATATAACAGACAGATATAAACATTTTTGAGCATCCTATCTCATATTATGATATATATTAAATATTACAATTTTATTTTATTTTTTTTAGTGAATAAGTCCCTGTCTATAAATGCTACGAAAGGGTGTCTAATACTAGATTTCTAAAAATTTCAAGTGCCTATGGCAGCTGAAATATATACTGTACTAAATTCTTGATTTTTTAAATAAATAATTAATCGATTGACTATATAGTGATAACAAGTCGATAAAAGACTAAATTTTCTGTCAATTAAATCCATTTGTGAATATCCAAAAAACCCACGGATTCAAGGCAATGGCATTGTTTAAGATACTATTTCATTGTACTTGTGTGAAAGAAGAAGTGAGATATAAAAATATTTCATGGATACTTTTATAACCTTAAATATATTTAGTATAGTTTAATAACTCTAGATCTGATATAATATTTAAACAATCAGATATCTATCGTCTCTTCATGTCGAAAAATCATTATGTATCCTTTTATAAAATTAAATTCGTGCAAAATTTGATATATTTTCCTTACGATATTCCAATAGAATCCACTTACAATTAGTGTAACAATTTTTGACCTGTCCATGACGGACAATTCAAATATCTTAATTCCGTTTTTATAAACTTTGCTATGGAAAATAACAGTTTACTAAGTAATAGTCTTACAATCCATAACCAACGGATCGTACAAAGAATCTTACCATTCATAATCAACCGGTGATAAATAAATAGGACATTTGTTATTTTAATAGTATTTATGATTTTTTAGCTGTAATCTTTTAGCTTTAGCTCAATTAAAAATGCAATTCAAAAATTTTATAATAGCCCAACGTGGCTAGAAAATAATTTCTATTTCAAGTTGAGCGGTAAGTGAAAGTTGTGTGTTGCGCACACCAGATTTTTTTTAATACTTCCATACTCCTTATTGCGATTTATTAATAATAATTATTATTATTATTCTACTATTACTATAATTATTCTAATAATACTTTTTTTGGTAGGTGGGTCTTTTTAGAGATACCGTATATTTGTGATAACTATGTCCATATGGGCTTAAGTAAGCATGTATATGTATTCAGTTTCTGTTTTAGTTTCAGTTTTGAAGATTTGGCAAAAAGAGAGTAAAGTAGTTTGAGTCGTTTGTTAAGTGTCATACGTTTCATTTTAACATGTGGGCCCCATGTCACCTTTCTGTCGAAGGTGAGTCCAAGGTAAAGTATCGTGTCCGTTTGAGGAATTTGATTGTTGTCAATATAAATTGGAGGGCTGGTGTTTTTCCGAAGAGTAAATGTTATATGTCTAATAATACTAATAATAGAAAGATAGGTGAGAATTAAACTGAATCGTTTATTACAGAAACAATATAGGTTATATTTATTTATATTTTGAGCAATAGTTTTGGATACATTGTTCATAGACGTATTTTTTATTGTAATTAAAAAACACAGTCTATTCTATGAAAATATCAATTGAAAACATTTCGTAAGAAGTAATGTAAGTTTTGCTGTTCTTTATTGTTATTTTTTTAATCCTCGTTAAAATTCCTAACATCTCTTGCCTTAATACATCAAATTATAGTTTTGCAGATATAGGAGAAAACGCATGTAACTGCAACCAACAGCAGCGATGTCTGCATCGTTGACGATTTAGAAGGCTCATCTGAAGTTATAGAATTCCAGAAATCGATTGTATCCTGAAATTCGGTCCAGTTGCTGATTATCACTCCTGCATTTTGAATGTCCAAAAAATATTGTCCTTGAAATTGGAGCCACTGTACCGTCTCTTGACTGCTCGGCGTGCTGAAAAGAAGTGTATTCGTTTATTTAATAGTACAAGTTTTTTTATTTTTATTCATTGATATTTTCAGCTGTATTATAAAAAAATATACAACTAGCAAATGTGAACACAATAATAATACAATCACATGAAAACGCTTGTTGAGAAACTACACATTGGTAGCACTAATAAAAGTGCAAGTAATCTTATAACAAACAATGGATAATCATTGAATACATTTTTATAAAATGAAGAATTATATTTATCAAAGAAGAGTTTTATGAAACATGCCGAATTTCTAAAATCTTTGCTCTAAATATATTATTTATATCCATGTAAAATCCAGTGAACATATTTTAGTTTATTTTTAATTATAATAAATTCGTCATTTAAGTTCTAACGTATTATTTTTTACTTTGAAAGAGTCACTCAGTCGCTTTTGAGGAAAAATAATTCTGCTCAGCGATATTCCAGGATATCGAGAAAGCGTTTGATAGCGTCTGGCACAAAGGTTTACTATGGAAAATGAAACCTCACCTTCCTTTAACTTACTTTGTGATACTTTAATGGTTCTTTCTTGACAGGTTCTTCTGTATTTCTATTGATTCCTCTACTTCTCCCTTCTTTCCTCAACTTGCGGGTGTACCACATTTTCACGTATGTACACCATTCTCTTTTCTATCTACCAGTCTGTAGTTTCTCAACAAATGGTTTCATGTTATATTCTTTTGTTCACATTTACTTAATGTATTTTTATTTGTAATACAGTTGTAAATATCAACAATAAAAATAAAAAATCATGAATTCTTATAATCTTATATTGAAGTAAAACTACTCACTAATCTCTAGCGAAGTTCACCCACATCTTGACGAGCTGCTTTGAAAGTGATACATTTGCCGCTTTCGGCCAATCAAGTGTCGGGTTCTCCTCAAAGAAATAGGGCATTTCTGAACTATGTGGAACCACTAAAGAAAATAAACAATAGTAAGAATTAAGAATAAGTCATATGAAATTTTAAGGAAGATAATTTGAATATTTTAAATAACAATTTATTTTTTTTATTTTAATAATGTCTATCCAGCTATGTACATATGCGTCATAGTTAATCGACACGAGAAGGAACACAATAACAACAAGAGAATGAAACAGCGATGAGAGAATCCTAGGCAAAGCTCCAGATTATACAAAATAACACGATTGAACAAGTTACATATTCAACAGAATGGGTTTGAACCGCAATGAATGGTCGGAAGCTATCTTTTCCGTCTAACAGGATATGAAACAGTTCACGGAAAGTAGTGTTGCAGAAATGCGAGACCGAGACGGGTCTTGGTATTGCAAACTCAGTCTTGGTCATGGTCTTAGTCTTGCTCAAGAGTCTCGCAACAGTCTTGCAGTTACCTATTTGCTTATTACTATAGAGACATTACTGTAATTTTGTAGATAGGAGAAACCTAACTAAGCCCGAATGAAAAATTAGAAGAGTTAAATCCAAAGGTATATTGGTATAGCAATTATTAACATATAGTAACTAAGTTTGTCAAGTATTAGTAACTATTTTGCCTTAATTTTTATTAAAAAATCGATTTTTTTTTACCTGTTCTAGTCTTGGTATTTCAACAGTAAGGCAGCCTTGGTCTTGGTCTTGCAGAGTGCAAGACCAAGACCGATTTTGGGCTACACTAACTGAAAGCTGCCGATTAAAAATAGTATCTGGTGCCTAAAGGAGACATCACAAGATGGATGAAATTATACCTCTCCATAAGATTTGTGATTGAAATCCAATAACAGTTAATATAATCAAAACACACGCTGCCCACCCGTGAACTACATAACTCTTACAGATATTTCTGCAGCAATTTGCTGTGATCAAGCACAGATCTACTGAAGATATCATGAATAAAAAATACAAGACATCAGTCCAACAAATGTCTTGGGCAATGGATTCGAATTCACTGAAAATGCATCTAATTATACACCAGCAGACTTGAATTGTTTCAAATAATTACGAAAAGAGGCAAAAATAAAAATTTTAGAGGTTGTTTTAATTTCCCGTTCTTTTTATCAATTCTATATTTTACGTAATATTCTACACCTGACTAAGCTGCTTTTCACCTTGTTTCCGGCTCATGTGTATATCTTGCTACATTGCTTCTTGGATATCACTGTAATGTCGTCATGGAACACATGTACCAAAAAAGTTCAGACGAAAAGCAAAAGAAACAAGAGAGAATATTTAGAAAACGGGCTTTTTAAATTCCCAAATATTGAAGAATTTGATTTTCAGCCATGCCTGGTAGTTCTCAAATACATATTTTAATGGAGGAGGTCTTTCGGATTTCTTGCAGGGTAATGGAATCTCACTCTTTAACCAATAGATGGAAACCCCCAGAGGAGCTAGGTTGGGCCTGTGTTTTAAGGTGAGTTTCATTCACGTCAATGGTATGGACCATAAAGTAATGACTAGGATCGTACATAAATGTAATAGTTACCTGTAAAACTGGTATTGTATGTTAGTTCTGTTCCTTTGGTATAGTTGAATTTGTAGAAATAAGTGGGTCCAGGGTGTTTGCTTATACTCCTTAAAGAGGGATAGGTAAACATGTATTCCGTAAAATACTGAAACACATATATCATATAAAATTAATTTAAAAAAAAGATAAATTATTTATTAAATTTCCTGAAACATTCCAAATAATTGTTAATTTCATCAGCACAATTTTGATTAAAAAAAATATTTTTACATTTTTATATCTGAGAATTTCCTTACTACATGGAGGAAATGGTGATGAAAAATCGAGTTTCACTGAAAACTATAAATAATGGTCATAGCTGATTTTAGAATGCACAGATGTCGTTTTACAGGGGATACCGGGCGCTGTGGGTTGTAAATTAATGAAAAACTTGATCAATCAGGAAAAGAAACTGCCGGAAAAGATCAGCCAGATATACGAATCTTTTTCGGACGCCAAAAAAGCTAATTAAAACATTAATTACTGGAAAAATAAGAACTTATAGGTCAGTTATAGTTGAAGGAGAAGCAATGGGCTTCATTACTAGAAGAAAATGGAAGGGTGCCCTTGGATCTCTTCAGAAGTGAGGTCTTTGCACATTTTAGGTTGAAAACGGGAAAAGACAATCTCCAAAGCCATCTATACCGTATTGGAGTTGTCGAATCAGCAACATGTCCGCTGTGTCGACAAGGATCCATGATAGCTCTGCTTCTACTGACTTGTCCCGGACTACAGGACGTTAGAACCAAAGCCAGGACTGAAGGTGAAGTTTACTGAGCTGCTAGACGTCGAAAGAGACGAACAAAGCATAGGAAAAAACTTGTAATCGTTCTCAAGAAAGAGAAAATGTTACGATCGGAAAAATTTGCAATGGTAATCTTGAGTTACGGTTCGTAATTTGTTATTCATGGAGAAGAATTTACAAGGAAGATTAGGTAAGGTTTCGGAGGGTTTTGTATGCCATCATCCCTGTTTCGTATCCATCTGAACGCCTCCTAACAGCGTATCTTCTCTTCATTAACTCTCTGATTTCAGGATTGATCCAGGGAGCAATAGAACCTTTGAAAGAAGAGGTCCTAGAAGTGTATGGTGATTTAGGAATAGGAGAAGATTGGAGGAGAGACACTCCATCATTTCATCAATGCAGGAATATAAAATGATAGGTACTGAGCATTGGGCTAATAATTGTATTGGCTTATGAATTGAAGCGGAGAGGGCGGAGTGACCTAGGGTTTAGTTTTTGCTCAGTTCAAAAAAGTGCTTTATCTATAAAATTATGCCGTCGACTTATTCAATTAAAAAATAATATAAATAAATTAGCTCATTGTTAGGAACAATTAGAAAATACTAACGTTGCGGATAGCTACAAGAGGCTCAACGCCTTCCTTAAAATACCTCTCTCTTATTCTTCTAACGTCGTCAGGTCTGTTTTCTAAATGATATGTTGAGATAATGGTCTGATTAAATTCGTTTATAAACTTCTCTGCCTCTTCCTTGCTCTTTCTTTTGAATTCATAGTCTAAAATTAAAGCAAAAATAAGTTAATAGAAGTTAAAAAGAAAACAAGAGATATTATTTTGGAATACTTGGAAATAGATCATAATATTATATATAATAACCCCATCGATTAACAGTTATATCTCAAAGTCTAGATATGTAATGTATCATCACTCTTAACTAAATGACGGTCTGATGTGTAATCATCGCAGAATATAGAATATCAAATGATATTTTATTCGATATATTTAACTCACCTCCGGTCATGGCCAACCCTTCATCCTGACATACTCCCATGATCCAAGGATATTTGTGGTTCGTAGCCGTGGGCCAGCTCGTAATTATTGCTCCAGGAGCTCCTACAGGTTCCAGAACTGGAGTTGTGAGATGTACCTTTTGGTTATTCTGAAATATCATAATCCATAATTTAAAAAAAAAATTGTTATTTAAATTTATAATTGTATGGCTTTTTTATCCGGCTAGGGAGGGTTGTGTTTGGGTTGAGCGCTTGTAGATGCGTTACCATTAACTCAGCAAACTTACATCTTTCATCACATCAATAATGCCAACTTGCTCCATTGGTTTACTCTGAAGACATTTAAGGAGATCTCTACTTTCTGCGCAGCCTACTGTTTTCGCCATGTTCAAGGCCATTTCTCTCGATAGTCCTGGTGGTACGAATGCCCAAGGTGACAATCCGACACCGCTTTGGGACACACAAGCTTTGATGTAACCTGAAACAATAGAAAACTAGGTATAATACAGAAGTAAGCCAATTCTTGGAATGTTATTAAGGGAGTCCGAGTATAAGTATGAGCGATTATATTCATACTATATATGAAGTATGGGCAATGTGTAAAGGCTGAAATGACAGGACGTTCATGCTGAGGAAAAATCTGCTTCACGTCATTACGTGAAGTGTCGATCATTATCCAGTATCTCTTATATGGATAATATTGATAGATAGATATTTTATTTGTTTTTGGGGGTTCCCCATACAAATAGAGCCTAGCTTGGCTATTGTACTATAACATGGTTTTACAAATTTACATACCATTTCATATCATTTAAATATAAATAAACTTTACAATATTTTCCGTTTATAATGGGTTTTACAAAGCATGAAAAACAATAAAAGTTAAAAACATAAAACGATTACTGCATAATGATAGTTAAATGAACCTGTTACTATGATAGAACAATAATAAATTAAAATATGTATATATACAAACAAAATATTACTTTTTACATAAACTAAAAATAAACACTTAATATAACATGGGCTATGATCAACAATTTTGTGAATGTACTTTGTTTACTCCCATCATATAATAGTAAACTTTGTTTACTTTGTCTATACAGTCGATATTCAATATAGTTTCAATGTTGTGGTTATCAGAAGATTCTGAGATGAAGTTATGGTGGAATTTTTGTCTATATTCATTGTATGTTGGGCAGTGAAGGAGAATATGATGTAGACTATTGTGGATAAATTGACTGCATAATATACAAATTTCTTGAGACTCAATCGAAAAAGTTGTGGTTTTTGCATAAATTCTGATTTGTTCTGGATTTGCAACTCTTAATTGACTAACACATCTCAATTTCTTTATATGAACTTTAAATGTAAGGTATGCTTCGGGAGCATTGTAACTGCATAACATTCTGTATAAAGGGTAGTTAGTTGAGTTTAAAGTTCTTTGAATGTCGGCTGAGAAATAATAGTTGTGTGCTTTTTCAAGGATGTTGTCTTTGTATCGAAGAAGTCCGTTTATGTGGTGAACAAAAAGCTCTTCTGCAAAGGCATTAAGCTCGGCTATTGCTCTAAATTGAGAAACCCAATTTAAGTCTATGTCAGGCCTATCCTTATCTAAAGATTTAAGTCTGTTAAAACAAAGTTTTGGGAGTCGCTCTTCTGGCATGAACTCGAGCTTGATCCATAGATTTATCATTTTTTTTATTACTTTCATGCTTAATGGTTCTCTTCCTGTTTCGAGGCGGGCTATGTAGTTTGGAGTATATGGATAATATTGTAGATAATATACAGAAGACTGTGACGGAATGGGAATAAGAGCTTCGTAAAAAATGAATGTTTATCGATACTAACTAAAATCAAGATCATTCTGGTTGGAATAGCACAGGAAAATTTCGAGTACTGTCATACAGAACAGTGCTGCAATACAGAAGAAATGGAAGTACTCCAGAATTTCAACTGCATCGGAACAGTTGTCAACACGATGAGTAAGGCAAACTCAGTCTATTGCCAGATATGCAATGCTGTTATTGGGAAGTGATAGATGAGAACAAACGTAAAACATCTTTAAGTCAGTCTACCTGCATTTACTCCTTCCTGAGGCTAAAAGTTGGATTTTTATAGGTGGACAAGATAATGAAAGTTGCAGAAATGAGGTTCCTTCGAAGAATTGCGGGGAAAGCAAGAAAGTCTCTTCATGTAATAGAATACAGTCTCGTATCCACAATGAGATAATCAGAGAGGAACTAAGAATTCTCTTCGGAACTAAGAGGTTCGGACATGTCAGGAAGGACAAAAATCGTGATCTACTGGAAACTATGTCTATGACAATAAAAAACCGTAAGTGCAATCAAGCATGGTGCACCTTCAATACGTCGACTGTTTATGCAAAGGAAAAGATCTCTGCCAAGCCAGGAACCTGACAAGAAACAGAAAATAAAAACAATCCTGGTTAAACGCTTAAACACTACAGCCCTAACAAGATTACTCAAAATTAACAAAAAAATAAAGCATATTTTGTTTGCATATACATGCATTGTTCATCTTAACCTGCTTCCTTTCATATTATGTGACATTGATTGACCAGTTTCTGTAAATAGTTCCTTATTGGACATTCTGCTCCAAGCGTTAATATATTTTTTTTTGTTCATATACCACGCTCACCTTTTATTATAGCAAGTTCTGAGGGTTATTACATCAAGGAAATCAAGGCTCTGATCATAAGACGTTTACAGTGGATCATTAAATTATTCAAAACGTTGTTGATAAATAGAAAAATAAAAAGTTTTTTTCTGAAATCTAGAATTCTCACCATTGGTCCTCGGAGCTGAACAAATAATGTCTGATGAAGCACCCCCTGCACTCTGGCCGACAACAGTAATCCGATTCGGGTCACCTCCAAATGCACTTATTTCCTTATAAACCCATTCCAACGCCAATGCTTGGTCCTTGAGACCGTAATTCCCAGGTATCACGTTGTCTTCTAAACTGAGGAATCCTTGAGAAAAAAAAATTAAAACTAAGTAAATTTTAATAGGATTAGGTGATAGGTGATTTGGTTTGATAATATAGTCTTGTAATACCTAAAGGTCCAACCCGATAATTAGGATTGACAAAGACCACATCCTCATCCATAAAAAACCTAGCAGAGCCGAAATAAGATGCAGAACCTCCCAAAAAGGCACCGCCATGAATGTTGAAGATGACTGGATATCCTCCGGTCAACTGGAAATATTTTAATACATACAGTGTTTGTAACTTTTTAATGAAAAAAATTTTACAATTTAAAAGTTCCTAAAAAAAAACTTGTTTAGCTTTTACTTTGATTATTGAAATTTAAAAAAAATACAAGAATTATGTTTAGGTATTATTAAGACATTAAGATTATTAAATCTTAATCGACTAGGAAAAGTTTGTTTGGAAAAGTCATATTTTTCTTCAAGATTTAGTTAGTTGTATCATTATAAAATTGGTAAATGCATGTTTTCTTTCATGATAGATACATCAAAGAGATTTTTACTTCTAAATATTCGATGCCTCATTTTGCGGCGGACGTCCGAGTATACATTTTAGTTAGCTTACTGGGATCCTAGATGTTAATATGATCATATCAAACTGAACTTACGTTGGGGGAGAAAACGTTGAGATAGAGGCAGTCTTCCTGCCCAACACTAAGCTGGAAGCATGATGGGATTGGTTGAGTTGCATCCAATATTCCAGTCCAGTTATCAGCTTTCTCAGAAATCTGGAAATAAAATCCTTTAATATTATAACGCTTAAATATTTATAAGAAGTTATACGTTAAAGAGAACGATACTCTGTATGATCTGAAATATTTCCAAAGAGATGGCAATAACAGGTCATGCATGGACCAAAACAGTCTTTTTCTAAAAAATTGTCAGATTACTATAAATGAAAACTGGACTATGTACTATTAATTAGATTATGAGTAAATTACCAAATGGTTGTAGGTTAAAAGCTGAATTACTGCTCTTCTAGCGCATATCAGTTAATTTTAGATTTCAAAACTATAATTAAAAAAATAATAAATTCCTCAAAAGTTTTTATTTTATTTTTGACATTCTATACGTTAGTGTAATTTTTTTGTGCCATTTTTTATAGTTTGTGTGACCTACTATGAGCAATAATTAAGCTTCACAACGGTCTTAATGGTTTTCCCAAACTTGAATTTGGAGAAACTCCTTTGAAATTATGAATGCTTTCACCAAAAGAAAAATTGCAAAAAAATATATATATTTTGTATTTTCTATAAGATATTAAAGGGTGCTAAAAATAAATCCTACTTACTTTTTGATAACATTATTTTCTATTTTGGTCTATTAGCAGAAATTGTCTTTTCGTTTTTATAATTTCTTATACAATTGAATGAGTACTATCGGATATATTTATTCTAAAAAATAAATTGGTTGATATATAGGTAATGAAATTAAATATAAAAAGTTGTTTACCCCCATACCAGACTGAAACGACTAGAAACTGCCCGACGTTTTCGACTACTGCAGCACTTACTAGACAAACCCTCTAAGCTTTCAATCAATTACAAACGACTCATATATATGACAATCTTGAATTTGGAGAAACTCCTTTGAAATTATGAATGCTTTCACCAAAAGAAAAATTGCAAAAAAATATATATATTTTGTATTTTCTATAAGATATTAAAGGGTGCTAAAAATAAATCCTACTTACTTTTTGATAACATTATTTTCTATTTTGGTCTATTAGCAGAAATTGTCTTTTCGTTTTTATAATTTCTTATACAATTGAATGAGTACTATCGGATATATTTATTCTAAAAAATAAATTGGTTGATATATAGGTAATGAAATTAAATATAAAAAGTTGTTTACCCCCATACCAGACTGAAACGACTAGAAACTGCCCGACGTTTTCGACTACTGCAGCACTTACTAGACAAACCCTCTAAGCTTTCAATCAATTACAAACGACTCATATATATGACAATCTAGACCTATTTGGACTTACGGAATTGAGCTTTGGGGCTCCACTAAACCATCGAATTCCTCTCGTATCCATTCCTTACAATCCAAAATCTTTCGTAAAATCCTCAACGCTCCTTACATTGTCACAAATAAAATCATCCATAAAGACCTTAATGTTCCATATGTTTCCGATTTGGCACAATCCAGATACCTATCCTTCCATGACAAACTGCAGAACCATCAGAACCCTCTAGTTTCAAACCTTGCTTCCTCCTCGATCCCTGATAACCCTCCGAGGCGTCTGAAAAGAAGATGGCCTCGGGACCTTCTAATATAGAACTTTAATTTGAGTTCTACCAATGGGTAGTTTCTCTTCATGTTGTACGTGTCATGTTACCAATCTCACATTTACTTATTGTATTTTCTATGTAATACAGTTGTAAATTTCATTAAAATAAAAAAAATAAAAAGTTTTTAAATTATACAAAATGTTTTGGTTAACTCTTGAGACCCATTGTAAAGATCGCAATTATATGAAAAGAAGTATTATATGTCTACAATATTTGTCGATGTAGAATAACTGAAACAATTTTTATTTGAAAACGGTGACCTTCTTTTGTTAGATCAAATTAATGCATATTGAAGCAAATTAAGTAATTCTTTCATAAATAATAGTATACTATACTTACCATGAACCTCCGCTCTCCGACAGGTGGCTTAGCATAAGGTATCCTGGTAAAGGAGAAGAAGTCCCTGCCATCCCTAGACTTGAGGACCTGCCCCTTCATGGTACCATAGGAGGTGGTGACCTGGGGGTTCTCTCCTAGGACGAGGTGCCCCAAGGCCGCAACACACAGCACGACCGCCAGCATTGCTACTGAATAGCAGTGCGCTGTATCTATCTCATATATATACAATACTTATCTTTTTATCTCTGTCGGTCATAACAAATGGCAAATATATCATCGACAAGTTCCCCGAATCCCAAATTAGGGATAAACAATTCAACCGGACTTCGGTTATTGCACGATCCGCCGCAAACTAATAAATATTGGAAATACTTGAAATATTTTTCCGATCTCCCAGAGTGGAAGAACGAAGCCAGGATATTAAACTCTCTGTCATAATCAAAATATTTTTTTTCCGGGACTAATCTTGATTATGTAATATGTAACCTTTGCTATGAAACACTCAGAACTGTTTTTGAATTCCATTAATGTTTCATTGACAAATGTTATGTTGTCTGAAAGATGGGACGCTAGCGCTCATTGGTATTTAATTAAAATACTGACTCTACACCAAATGGTCTTTGTTAAAACCCATAGAGAGGAAGGACACAGGCAAACGTGGAGGGGGAAGGACTATTATTTAAAAGAGGGAAAAATAATTTAAGGGTGGGGGAGCTAGTTATTATTTCATATTTTCTTAACGTTAAAATACCAACAGCTAATCTATCACTTTTAACCAATTTTTTCATTAATTCTCTGTCCACGTAAAATAGATAAAAATCTTAGATATATCAATGGGTGCCGACTTACACATATTTACACCACCTCAAGAAACTCTTATCACCCAAGATTTAGATCTATGTTCTCTAATGTTTTCTATAATGATGCTTTAGTATCTTGAAACATTGATATTTGTTCACCTTTTTCATTATTTATTTATTTATTTATTTGTATAATCAACATGCATAAAATTATAAATAATAGTTCATAATAAAGAGGATGAAATGCTGAACAATTCCCTCGCTTACATTATGCAGGTCAGATGTTTAGGTCCTGAGAAATTTTTTTATCCATAACTTCAATAAAACTCGTTATCATTTGGTTTTCGACACTGTTTCGTCCTCTACTGCGGCGTAGCGTTAAAATAAAATTTTTAATAATAGCCCATTACAGCAAGGGTGGATCTACGGGGAGGGGGAGAGAGGATTTTGGGGCTGAAACCCTCCCCAAAAATCGTAAAATATAACCATGTTTTATGGAAATAAATATTAAAAACTTATTTCCTTAAGTATTATTGTTCATGTAATTACATTTAAAAGGAGTTTAAGAATCACTTAAGCACCATTTTATATATGTAGTTAGTTTCTTTCTTTTTTTCTTAAGTAATTATCGTTATTTTTATGAAAAAAAAGCTCTAGTGCTGAAGCCCCCTCCCAAAATTAAATCCTGGATCTACTAGTGCATTGCAGAGAGAATGAAATGTTGATCAATTCCCTCGCTTACAGTATGCATGACCGATTTTTAGTTCCTGAGATATTTTTTTATCCATATCTTCCATAAAACTCGTTATCATTTGGTTTTCGACACTATTTTTTGCCTTTTCGTCTCTCTACCACGGCGTAGCATTAAGATACAATTCGGAACAATAGCTCATTATAAAGAGGATGAAATTTTTCTAACTTACAGTATGCAGGTCCGACTCCAGCCGAATTTACCCGGGCGTTATGTATCGGAGATCTGACGATTCATTCTAATTCACTCTCCACAAAAAAAAAAGGTGTAAAACGCGGAAGTTTCCATTTACAAATAGATTATTAATTTTGCTCTTTGTATTGTACCAACTCCAACATTTAGAATTTCATACAATCAGCATTTTTCCGAAAATACAAAACATTAGGTGTACAGGGTTTTTGTCAGATAATCCAAAGTTGATACTCCGAAATTATTTCACTCAGAACTATTTTATAATTCGATTAATATTTCATTGATAAATGCCTCGTTATGCAAGGATTGCATTATCTGCCACATTGGGATTGAAAAGAAATATCTTGAAGTAAAAATATTTGTTAAAACTTATAAAGAGCAAGGAAGTATATCCAAATACTATCTAAATTAGTTAGTACTAGTGCAACTGTGAAAAAATTACCCACATAAAAAAAAATATAAATAAATAAATACCCAGTCTAAACTACTGCTTCGTAAATCTAATAAGAAGGTGATTAAAAAGGATAAAAATTGAGGATAAATGTGATAAAATGATGAGAAAATGGCATTTTTGTGGAGTTTTGAAGGAAAAATAAAATAAAACGAAACATTTTATATTTAATAAAACAATTACTACCATAGAGTATTATTCTCCATACATATATATTTAAAAAATATATATATAATGTTTTTAAAGGGCTTATGTTTTATTTTTTTAAAGAGGAAAACAAATTTTGAAATTAGCTCTTGGCGCCGAAACGTTAAATAATAATTTTTAAATGTTTATAAAGATGTTTTCAATGTAAAATAAAAGGCCATGAGATTGCGTCATGGAAACGGGGTTTCTATAAATAGATAATCATATATAGATCAAATACAATAAAAAAAAATATTTATTTTTCATATATATATAAATTTCTTAAATTAATATAATTTTTTTTTGTAATAATATTAATATGAGAATTAATAATATGGCGCAGATTTAGCCAAAGCAAGATATATATCCTTTCATGACAAATTCAAGTCCCATACGAATCCATTTGTTTCCAGCCTTGCTACTTTCTCAATTTCTGATAATTCGGCGTCTGAAAAGAAGATGGCCTCGTGATCTTCTTACTTAGAACTATTTAGGGAGTGCAGTCATTACTACCACAAGACTGTTCATGTCATTACTCTTGATTTTTTCATATTTACAAGTTGAATTTATTTAATACAGTTGTAAATTTCAATAAATAAATTTAAAAAATAATATAATTCCTATTTTGCCCTCACTCCTTGCCCATAGGTCAAATCTATTTTTTTTTAAAATTTATATTTTGAATAGTTAGAATAATTATAATTTGAATGATGAATTTTTTTAGGAATGTAAAAAAAAAAAATGTGATATAATGTTGAATGAGCTATTGTATATATTATTCGTTGATTGTTGTTTACTCTAACAGGCATGACGGACATAAATCATTTTCATGTCAAATTAACGAGATGGTGAAAAATAACTCCAATTCAATTATTCAGTTATTTGTTGCATACAATAATTTCGCATCATTACATAAACAAAATACAAGAAAAAAAAACATGCCATTCAATGGTGAAGGACAATGACAATATTATTTCATACTCTTGACCTCTATCATTATTTACTTTTTACGTTTCGGGGATGCTTTGGCCCTCTTTTCAACCTCTAAAATTATTTAAATAATACATTGTCACTTCCCTCTAGTATTTTTCTATTTTTATTGGTTATACAAAAAGTAAAAAAAACAACAACATGAAATCTGAAATCTAATAATGTTAAAATATTGTATAAGGAAAAATATATAAAACATAAAGAAAATTTATTTATAAAAAATATTTGAAACTGATATTAAACTAAAAGGAAGAATTGACGTTTACTTCGAATACTTGAAATCAAAGTGTAATACTTAACCTCCCTGACCAATTAAATTTTATTGTTAAAAAGAGTTTTCATATAGTAAATTATAAAAATTAAATTAAAAATGTTATTATTTATAACTGATTGATTCATAACAAAATCTATAAAATGTATTCTATGGAAAGAAGTGATAATGTATTCCTTATATAGTTTAAGAAACTGAAGCTAAGATATAGCACCCACGATAAAACTAAAAATGTAATATTAAACTATAAATAAAAAAATACTATATTAATTACATGGATTATTTTATTATATATTACGTTCGTAATATTTCATTTTTTTTTTTTTTTGGAAATTTATTATATATGTTTATTTAGAAATATTACATTCTGTCACAATCAAGGACATTTATGATAGTGTTCAGAGAGCACACTCAGACACTATTTACAATAATATTTTATTAGATCTACAAAAGATAATGTTAATTAACTATGAAAGGTCATGAGTATGAACTATTAAATTAATATTATATCAATTGAATGTTTCTTATTTATTTTTTTACTAAAAAACTTTTAATTGATTAACAATCACTAGACTGTGTCACAATAACTTGATACATTTTTTTGTTCTATTTAGGAACATAATATTTTTTTCTAAAAATTTGTAGATTAAAATCTTTCCTGTGCAAAATAATGTTCTTACGCGACCATTTCGCTTACTTTTCTCATGTCTTTTGTATGCATTTACCATTCCTTTAAGATCCATTACCTCTACTTATTACATAAATAGTACCTTAAAGGCGGTAAACAAACTTAAAACTACAATAAACAAAAACGATGACTGAATCGTTGACGAACTAGAAGGCTGATCAGGAAAAATACTTTTCCAAAAATCGAGTATCTCTTGATATTGAGTATAATTTCCAACAGTCACTCCAGAGTTGTGTATATCCAAGAAATATTGTCCTTTGAACTCAGACCATTGGACCAAACCTTGGCTGTTAGGTGTTCTGAAAATTAATAAATTTTACAATTAATTAGCTGCGGGTTAGTAATCTTATTTAAATCAATATTTCTATGTTATGTAATAACATGAGGTTTTGTGAAGAGAAATCATTATCAGAAAAATATTATTAGTATTTTTTTCCTGAGGATTTGTTATTATATTAAATGGTTTATTGTTTAATTACTTTGTGAAAGGTGATACATGCCATTAGTTGGGTGATACGAACCGAAAATCTGAATAGGAAAGTATTCGTGGTTGCGTATGCTAATGACGTGTACTGTTAAGCGGAAACTATAAAATTAAGTAAACCAAAATTGAGGAAAGCCTTACTTTATCTCAATAACCGTCGAATCCATTTCTATCCGACATTCAAACACCTCGGAGTATTATTTGATCAGAACCTCTCTTGGAATAACTACATTTCCCAGATTACCCTTAAATCCACAACAATTCCTACGATTCCGTGATTCTATTCCAGAAAAAAACAAGACAGCTCCTTGTAACATACCTTGATTTCCCCCACTACGACTACGGTTGCTTGGTGTATGGAAGACTGTCCAGAAGACTGAAGATACTCTTGAATTGCTTCATAAGATTTATCTTTGGGATTCCCAGGTGTTCCAATGTTTCCAGCTTGTACACTGAGTTGAAGAGGCTCTATCCTACTTCCCGACGGCAGTTTCGATGACTATCCTTTTACAAGTTCTCAGAACTAAAAATCCTCCCTACAACCTAGAACTCCTTACTCGACGTTCCTCTATCCACTCTCTTAATACCAGATCTCAATCTCTAGATCGATATACTCCTTTCCATAAAACCACTTCCTTCAGTAAATCCTTCGTCATTCGTGCTACCTCCTTATCTATCTCCATACGTCAAACCACATCCGCAAATTCCTTCAAACAACTCCTATTCCACAATCTACAACCCATTCTATCTTCGACAAGCGTTTAAGAAATGTTAGACTATGTAACTACAGTTGCTCACCAGCAGTTAATTGATAAGAGCTATTTTATTTTTCTCACAGTATTTTTTTTTTTTGTATATGTTTGTATTTTTCTTAATTTTATTTTTGTGATTTTTTCTATTTTCTTAGATTTTTGGGTTAACAGATATTTTTTTAACTCTGCTATTATTCTAAGGGGACTTCCGTCCCAGAATAAAATTATTTTTCATTCATTCATTCCTTCAAAGCCGGTAAAGAACTAGAGTTCAAAATAAATAAGGACAAGATAAAATATATGGATAGCTGCAGAACCCGCGAGTATCACAGTTAAATAGATAAAGAAGAGTTGGAAGACTTAGAATGATTTAGGTATTTAGTGTTTAGTTTAGTGAATAACTAGTAAAACGAAATAGAAGATGAAGTGAAGGCTAGGTTAAAGGTACGAAATGTTTGTTATTTTTTCTGCAACAAACCTACTTCTTTCGTGCTTTCTTTTCTGAAACCTAAAAATAAAATTTAAAAAATTTCCTACATCCTTCATATGGTTCTTAATATTTGCGAAACATATTCATTTGCATCAAAGGATGAGCAACGCCATAAGGCTTTATAAAATAAAGTACTGCCTACGGAATGTTCGGAAAAGGGGATACGGATAAGTCAAAAGGGGGAATTTCGATGGTTAATCAACGCCGAATTACATGAACTGCACTGGAGCAATATTGTTGAGATTATTGTATTGCGGTGAACAAAATTTTTGAGCCTACTAATTAAAGAATTCCTAAAAAGTTAAAATGCGTTGTACCGATCGTTAAGCGCCCGAGGAGTAGAGTGAAGCGAAGGTGGAAAGATTGCATTAAAGCTGACGGAGTTGTGTTTTGAACAGCGGTGGGTGGTATCGGTGTCGAACGGGTTATACTATTTTTCGGAGTTAACATGCGCTCACTAGATTTTGGCTTAAACTTGTAAATACACAACCTACTTTAACTTATATACTTCATTATAGAATTAAATTATAGAATCTGGTAAACCAATATCCAATGATATTAAGGCACGGAGGTTGAGATGGGCGGTGTATGTAGCTTGTATCAATCCATCTGCAAGCCTCTACGTAACAATGAACGGCTCAAGAGAAGGCAAAGGACCACATGGAAGGCCAAAAAGCAGATGGATACAATCAACAAAGATGCAATAGAGCTGCGTGCAGATAAATGGAAAGAAATAGCGCAAGACAGGCAGTAATGAAGCAGGCTAGTTAAGATGGCAAAAAATCTAATGCCAACAAAAAAAAAAAAAAAAAAAAAAAATATATATATATATATATATATATATATATATATAATTAAATTACTCACTGGTTGCGGGCAAAATTGACCCACATCTTGATTAACATTTTAGATAGGGCGATATCTGCAGGTTTAGGCCAGGTTGGTCCAGGTCCGTAAGGAGACTCAAAGAAGTAAGCTAGATCTGAGCCATGCGCAACTCCTGAAGCATTATTGCGGCATATTATTTTTTACTATATATTTTGTGAAAAAATATAGTTATTTAAAAAAACACAAAATTTTCATAATAATTGGCTTCTATTTGTATCTATACATACATATTTATTATGATATTGTTATAATTGTTGGATGATTACATTACTTTTCTTGCTACTATTTATAGTCCAGACAATAAATGATTATAGAAGGACATGGCGGGGACACAATTTTTGATTTTGGGATATTGTTTGGACTAGTAAGGAGGTAAACATACTAAAAGTCCCCACTCCTAGGTGGTAAGTTTTCTCTTATATCATGAAAACTATTCATCTCATCGATAAAGATGTTCTATACAAAATTAAAGCTGATAAAATTTGCTATATGACTGATTATAAATGTTTTCTCGATTTCGCTTAGTTTACGTGATATCAACTACAGCTAACTTTGAAAAAAAAAATTGCCTCGTGTTTATTGTTGTTTTTCGAGTTTTCGCTTATATCAGGAAAACCATCCAACGACAGAGACGTTATTTACAAAATTAAAGCTGATAAAAATTTCAATTTTCGCTAGCTCCCTTAGTTTCTGAGATATCCGTCCTCAACAATCGCTAATGTGGAAAAATCTCATGTTTTTTACTATATTTGATTAGGTAACTCTTGATTTCTTTTTTGAATGATTAAGTCGTAAAGAAGAAAGTTTCTAATAATTAAATTTTCTTCAAGAATACATATTATTTTACTATTTATTTCTAACGGTTCAAAAGTTAGATCAATTATAACTTAAAATATCAATTCCGAGAATTTACATTTTTTTTTTTATAATATTCATTATTATTATTATATTGCTGTAACTCTCTATACATCTGAATCTCTAAGTGTATATAAATGTACATATACATACATACAACAAGGGATATATAAAAATTATTTTTTTCGTCAAATTCTTGGAATTGATATGTAAACTTACAATTGATCTAACTTTTGAACCAACAAAGATAAACAAGAAAAATAATATATATTCTTGAAGAAAATTTAATTATTAGAAACATTCTTCCCTACGACTTAATCATAGAAAAAAACAACGTAAAATATCGTAGAACGAAGCAATCAAGAGTTAGATAGTCAAATACAGTAAAAAAACGCGAGGTAACAATTTTTTCCATATTAGTGATAGTTGAGGTCGTAATTCTCGGAAACTAAGCGAGATTGTGATAAAAGGTATTTAATTAATCATACGTAAAATTTTATCAGTTGTAAATTTGTTATGAACGGTTTTGTCGATGCGATGGATAGTTTTCCTGATATAAGCGAAAATCCAAAAAAAGTGTCCTACTAGGTACCCCCTTCCCACATCTGGCTCACCACCTAGTAGTGGAGATTTTCAGTATGTTTACTTCCTTACTAGTGCAAACAATTTCCCAAAGTCAAACATTGTGTCCCCGACATTTCCTTCTATACTCCCTTTTCGAGCATTTATTGACTGAACTATTATCCTTAGGATCTTTAAAACAAGCTTTAAATACATAGAAATAATATGAATTCATGAAAGAAAACTGATTTACTAATTTGAAAAATCATTTACCTGTAAGATTAGTCCACCCTAAAGGTATTTGTGGCCCTCCAGTGTAGTTAAACTTAAAGAAATAAGTTGGTCCAGTGTGTTTACTTAAGCCCTTCAGAGATGGATGCAAAAACATGTATTCAGTTACAAACTGTAACACATAACAATCATTTCATATAACTTGAAATCATGAAATATACATTATAACTTTTTATACAAAACTTTTTTTTTTTTTTTTTTTAAGACGTCTTCCTATATATTCCATTTATTTTCCACTTTCCCGCAACCGGTTTCGGTCCGGTCAGACCTTCATCAGGCTAGGTAAAATAATAAAATTAAAAATAAAAATTTTTGTAAATAATAATAAAACCTAATTTAAAATTTATCAATTTCTTTTTTCATACTTCTATCCACACCTGTCATAGTATTGAAAATAAGCAGGTGTGATCTCATTGTAAAGGAAATTGGCATTTGAGACATGAGGCAATTGACATTAGTACCCAGCAGTACATCTTCCTGGTCTTGGTCTACTTCATTATTTAGGAAAGGAGATCTCTCATCCAGCTCCTCTTTAGTCGTCTCCTGATGGGCATGTCAGCCGTGGTCATGTCGTTGATTAGTCCGTTGTGATGTTCGTATAATTTTAAATCAAATCTTAATAAATTAATCAATATAAATGCTAATCACCCAGCTGATGGTGGTCCTCTCCTGCTTGTCAAATGAGGACTAAAAAATGAAACTATTGACCAGATAGGCTATTCCTACCCCTACGTATTGTTTTCATTTGCCGTCAATAATATTATGAGTACAGAATCCTCAAATTGAGTACTTTGTACATTCAGGCTTACTGCGTCATTTTTTTATAATCCTTTTTTTAATTTCTGATTTTTCAAAAAAGTCCATTCTTTTCCCTCTTGAAATGGCATGCAACAGGTTCATCTTGTTAATTTTTTGTGGATTTGAAAAATTTTAAAAATAATCTCTAAAATATGATACATGGCCTGAACCAGAGAAGTGTTCTTTTATTCTGCTTTTTAGTTTTCTTTCCGCCTGCCCGATATAAACGGCGGAACATGAACGCCACTCTTATTTAAAAGATCAACTCGATCTTTAGTCCTAAAGACCATGTTTTTTAAACTTTAAGAGTCAACATGTATGAACGCAAGTTTGGTCTTTGAGAATTCTGTATTGATTTATGACTTTCTACTAAACTTTATCGCACAAATAATACACGTGGTATTAGATTTAACATGGACAAATGGATGCAGTAAGAGACCATACAGCAGCAAATTATTAGACAAATGTTATGCCAATATAAACAACATGTTTGTATTATTATTTATGTAATGTATTATCCCTATGTAGTTAGCTTGTTTTTACATGATGCATATTTATAATAATATGAAGAAGAAAAAGAAAATATTGTAAAATTGATGAAGTTACTTAAAATCAGCTTTGGACTTCAGGAAATCCAGAAAGCTGTAATGCTGGTCGTCAGAAAATATTTCAATACTTTAAATTAAATATCCCTTCATAGCGGGCCGGGTATGTGAATTTGTCCTGTATATTGCCGAGAAGCGCAAAATAAAATATAATAATAATAAATATTTATATATTTTAAAAATTTATATTTATATAACATGGCAATAGACGGCAATATAAAATACTCACATTCCTTATCCCTATTAAAGGATCTTCTCCTTTTCTAAAAAATCTCTCATAAATTCTTTCGAAATCATTAGGCCTGTTTTCCAAATGTAGCTCAGTGATAATAGATGTGTTGAAATATTTAATGAATTTCTCCGTTACTTCTCTGGGTACTAAGTTGTTCTCATAAGCTGAAATAATTATTTTAAAAAACAGAAACATAAAATAAAACTTATTTAGATTAGAGCAATGTGCATAAACTTCAATTGGATTTAAAAATGAAAATGTATAAAAATAATTACCATAAGAAGGTGTAACTTTGGAACAAGGGATAAAATTTAGTTCGTGGTGATTCCGTGGCGGATACACTGTGTTGGTTCAGTCTGCATGGACATCACATGTACTGCGCTACTACCTTGCGGCACACTACTCTTGAGGCACAAGCGAAAATTCATGAAAACAAGAATTTTGAAAACTGCAATGGAAATAGATAAAACCTAACTGCACAACGATGGTTCTCAAACTGCCGGAAGGTAGATAGATAGATAGAAAATAACTTTATTTTGGGACACACTTCCTTGAGAATAACTAGATATAACAACATTAAAAGATTACATCTGGCCAAAATAAAAGCAATAAAAAAAACAATAATGTAAAGAAAATATAAGGTAAACAATCTATATACTAAACAAATGAAACTATATACATAACAATTAACACTATGACAAGTCACTTAAGGCTATTTGCACTGATAGACCAGTATACACTTTTAAGAAAACAATAAAGAATTAAAAAAAATATATTGAATTCTTTATTAAAATCAGCTTTGTGTTTCTGTTGAGAAAACAGGAAGCTGAATCTGACAATATAAAGTGCCTAATTAATATATAAATACATTACCATTTAGCATTGATATTTGACAATGAATGGCATGAAATAAATGTATGTTGTCGAATGGTTAGCTACTATCTGACTGTTTTTAGGATAGGAATTGGAATAGGAGGGTTTGAATGTGGATATGGATGGAGAATGTCGAATTTTGATAGGGAGGGAATTCCAGAAATTGACAGAGCGAGCAATAAAGGAGTTTTGGAATGAGGCAGATCTGTGATATTGTGAGAAGGCATGTAAAGGTTAGAAGATCGAAATCTTGTGGACAGGGAATGGGCATCTTATATTTGTATTATATGGACTTATATCTTATATTTGTATTATATGGACACATTATATTGTCAGGAGAAGGTAATAGCGCAGTACATGCTTACACAAAGCACGTTTTTGCAACCTGAACCAACACAGTGTATCCACCACGGAATAACGACAAACTAAATTTTACCCGCTCTCCCAAAGTTACTCCATCTTACGGTACTTAATAATTTTAGTGTATAGCATAGATAAAAGAGAACCAATTTGCCATAACAATTCTTTCAGACATCATTATTCACATAAGAACATGAAGGTATTCTAGGTTGGTATTCAAATTATTATCTCACTTACGACCGGTTACGACCAATCCTTCGTCCTGACAGACTCCAACGATCCAGGGATAGTTATGGTTTGCTTTCGTGGGCCAGCTTGTCAGTATTGCTCCTGGAGCCGTCTCTGGTTCCAGAACTGGAGATACCAGAGTCATAATGTTTTTGCTCTAAAATATCCAAATCATATTGGGTAAATAATTATTTTATGGTATAAAATATATCAATACTCAATTTTTTTTTAAACATTTAATTAAGATATTCAAACATATAAATTTTTTATAAGTAAATTTAAACTTATTATAAATTAATAATCAATATTTATTGATTATGACATAATACTTATTATCATTAAAATGATTTCATTTAATTAATGTAATTAGTAATAAATGTAATTAATGTAATCGCACAAAATAAATTACCGAATTGAGAAGATCTTATTTATAAGTATATATATATATATATATTAACGAATGACCAATCTTGTAGGAAAAACTCTAAGACTTAATATTTTATTTTTATTCCAGCTGTGGTTTTAATTGCCATACAGGCACCTGATATTCTACTAATTTATATATCAATATTATGGAAAAAGTAAGGAATATATAAATAAATATATTAACAGATGAACAGTGAAAGTAACAGATGAAAAATAGAAGGGAGGATAAGAAAAATTATACATATATATATATATATATAATTTTATACATACATATATATTATATATAAGTATAAACTTTTTGAGTTATTTGGAATTTAGTTTTACCATCTCTCGTAACCTTTTCAAGCTTTCTTTTCGTTGAAGTATGTTATATAGAGAAATTTAAAGGGCGTAGAGAAAATGACTTTAGCGAAGTTTCATTGAAATCGTTACATTCGTTTAGGCGCTGCAGTCTATAGCAACGCAGGTTTTTCGGCTTCCATTTTAGAAGTAAAAGGCGGATAATGTGGAGGAAGGAGAATCATCCTCGGGTGACCTCTGATTTTATAACCAAATTAGAAAAAAATCGATCCAGTAGTTTCGGAGAAAATGTGCGGACGGCGGCGGACAAAAACATTTTTATTCGTTTTTCGAATTCTATGTATCCTGAAACGGGGAACCTCAAATTTTGAGAGGGGGTTAAGTTATTGAATTTTTCGGTCGATCGCAATGGTTGATTATTGAAAATAATAAACAAAAAAAGAGATAAAAATCAGTTAAAATTTACAAAACTTTATAATTTTTTCCCACTTACACCTATCAACAAGGAGCCATTGCTGACGACTTCAATCGGTTTACCCTGCAGACATTTAAGTATATCAGCTGCTCCATCACAACCTACTGCCTTAACTAAGTTCATGGCCATTTTTCTGGCTTCACCACGTTTCAGTATTGCCCATGGAGCCCATCCGTCTCCGCTCTGCGACACGCAGCCTTTGATGATTCCTGAAACCAGTAAAGTAAAAAATTAAAGAGTAGATATTATTCAAACATATTGATACCTATTTGATATCAGTTCCGAATTACCACAATTATCACTGGTTTATATTGGGTCGTCTGGTATTGCACTTTGCAAGGCCACGACCAAAACCACCTAACTGTTGCAAGACCAAGACCAGGACTTGTAAAAAAAAATCGATTTTTCGAATAAAAATTAAGTTAAAATACTTACTAATAATTGACAATTTTAGTTATTATATGTAAAGAATTGGTATAACCAATATACTTTTGCATTTAACTCTTCTAATTTTTCATTCGGGCTTAGTTAGGTTTCTACCATATAAAAAATTACAGTAGTACCTCTATACTAATAAGCTAATAGGTAACTGCAAGACTGTTGCGAGACTCTTGCGCAAGACCAAGACTAGTCTCGGTTCTTGCATTTGGGCAACACTAGTCGTTGTAAATGAAATGATAGTTTTCACGGGAAAGGTTATGTAGTAAAACAACTTGATATAAAAATATTTGTATTCAAAATATTATCCCTCGTTTTTTAAACATTTTCTCAACTCAACAAAGGCATTATCAACTTTTCAAACCCAGAACTAAAAAATTTAGGATTTTGTGAAGAAGTAAAAAAATGGGTCTGATTTTAGTCTAATTTTGGTCTGAAAATAATTTTTCACAATCTTACCTTTAAGGAAGTTGTCAAAATTTCTGTACAGATGGAAATCTGTTGGAGATAAATAAGGTGGATAGAGAACGACTTCGTAACACAGCTCGTTTAATTTCGTTACTGTCTGCCGTTGTTCGAGGTCTGGCGTTGTCGTGTAAGAGTATAGGTCCCTTCCGATTAACCAATGCAAGTTTTGGATGTATTATGTCAATATCGCTGTGAATTTGATGGTTATTCCTCTGGATAAAACAATATAATTCTTCCATTTAATCTCATGCATTTTTATTTTATATTTAAAAGGTTTTTTCAACAAGAATTATTATTTTAAATTTTTGTTCTAAAAAACCATTTTCAATTTTTTTTTTATTTCAAAAACTAAACAACTAAAATAAAATAATAATGTATGAGATTAAAAGTTTTTTTTTTGGATTAACTTAATCATGTATTGATTAAATATAAAATTATATGGTGAGGTAAAGTAACCACACACCCGGAGAATTTCAGACTACTCAAGGTATCGGGCAAGGATGCAACCTGACCCACTGCTTTCCATCATGACTCTGAAAACGGCCCTGAACAGAGCTAAATCAAGGATAAGACCCCACAATTTGCGATATAGAAAGCTTAGGACCTTCCAACTTGGCCTTCTTGCCTTCGCGGATGACTTAGTTTTATTCGTTAACAATTACAAAAACCTATAGAAGGAATCGGAAACTATCAATACGATTATCAATGCAGCAAAAACAAAGATTATGAGAATAGGAAGAAAAGGCAAACATAGGGATAGAGTGGTTAGACTGAACCATCTTATCCTTATGTTAACCATCTTATACGTATCTTGGTGCTCACCTCAATAAATATATGGTTAAATAAATGAAAGAATAAAATTTGCCAGCTAATGTTTCAATTCTCTTAAGAAAGGTTTTACAGAAAAAAGAAGTGTCGAAGAAAGCAAAGATAGTAATTTACAAAAACACTTTATCACCGATTCTCACTTATTCGAGTGAATCTTGGACCATCACCACAAAACACAAGAGCCAAGTTCAAGCTATGGAGAGGCGGCACTTAAGAAGAATGGACGGAAAGATAAGGAGATACCGAGTCCGAAATAAGACGATGGGATCAAAACTGGAATTTAAGCCAGCTGAGGATATCATTGAGGAACACCAGCTAAGATGCTTGTGCTATGTTGCTAGAATAGAAGAGGACAGGTTGATAAAAGTGGCTTATGATACAAAGTTGAAAGGACAGAGGCCAAGAGGAAGACATGGGAAGGCGCAATCCGAGATGTTTTTGACAGAATAAGACTAGAATGGGGAAGGAAAAGACGGATGGTCGAAGATAGAGATTTTTGGATCAAGCTCTACCTAAGGGATTCTCATACTGCTGTGTGGTAGACGAGGTGCAGATTAAATAAATAAATACAATTATATATTATTTGTTCATAATATTTTTGCTTCATACATTATAAAAGATGAAGTCGGTATTTTTTGGTAAATTTAATATTTGTCGGGGATGCAGGAAAATTACTCCTGGGACACTTGGATTCTTTTCATGTTTGTGAATTTTTAATTAGACTAGGTCTGTTCTTCGTATATGAATATGATCGTCGACATCCTTCTATTTCCGGTATTCATCGAGAAATGTCTTAGTCCATTTACAGCTTGACCGAAGTTATCTTGAAAATAACCCCATCTTAGTGTAGGGATTCGAAAACCTTACATTAAATTCTTAGTAGTTGGATAGGATATGCTCACCATTCGTTCTTGGAGCAGAGCAAATTAAGTCCGATGAGGCCCCACCAGCACTCTCACCAATGACGGTTATCAAATTCGGGTCCCCACCAAATGCACTAATCTCCTTGTAGACCCATTCCAAGGCAAGTGCTTGGTCCTTGATGCCGTAGTTTCCAGGTATAGCATTGTCTTCCATACTGAGGAAACCTTAAAGCAAACATAAACATAAGATAGTGTTTATATTTAATATTATCTAAAAGCAGTTTTAGTGCAGGTCTTGATAATTTAACTCCACCATACCCAAATTTCCAAGACGGTAATTAATATAAACAACCACAACCTCTTCATCCATGAAATACTTCGCTGAGCCAAATAAATCCGCAGAACCTGCCTGGAAAGCGCCGCCGTGTATGTAAACAATAACTGGATATCTTCCGTTTACCTACAAATGTTTAGAGTTTTAGGAAATTAAAGCTCAGACTTATAAATCTCATTTATTTTTCCTTTATTAGATGACTCTTCCTTAAAAACCTGAGCCTACATTAGGTGTGAAAACATTCAAATAAAGACAGTCTTCATCTCCAAGAAATCCAGTTCCGTAAAAAGATCCTTGGTAGCAATACGGGCTGTGTTGAGTTGCATCCAATGTCCCAGTCCAGTTATCTGCTTTCTCAGAAATCTAAATAAAAAATAATTGCCTATTAATTTATTCAATTAAGTAAAGATAATGAATGTTTAATAAAAAAGTAAATAAAACTTTTCAGAAAAGTTTGTTCAGTTGGAACCAATCCAATATTGATATGACGTTTGATTAAATGCACTTGTGTAGAAAACAAATAAATTAATTCTATTTTTGACAAGATACCGCTCGACGTTTCCGACTACTAGTCCACCACTTACTAGACAAACGCTCTAAGCTTTCAATCAATTACAAACGACTCATATACATGACAACAATAAGACATATTTGGACTTAGGGAATTGAGCTTTGGGGCTCCACTAAACCATCGAATTCCTCTCTTATCCAATCCTTACAATCCAAAATCCTTAATGATCCTTACTTTGTCACAAATAAAATCACCCATAATGACCTTAACGTTCCATATGTTTGCGATTTGGCCCAATCAAGATGCCTATCCTTTCATAACAAACTTCAGAACCATCCGAACCCTCTCCTTTTAAACCTTCCTTCTTCCTCGATCCCTGATAACCCTCCGAGGCGTCTGAAAAGAAGGTGGCCTCGTGATCTTCTTGTGTGAATTTATTATTTGAGTGGTACCATTGGGCATTTTCTTAACAAGCGATTTCATGTTAATCTACCCTTAGTTTTTTTTTTGTATTGAGATTTAATTTACTTTTGTTATTATTGAATTCATAATCATTACCGATTTATATAAGTCATTTTATTTTCGTAATTCGTATATTATGTTACTTTTATCAATATCCTTTTTTTACTACTTATTATTATACTTAATTATTTTATGTATTTTTTTCATGATTTTATTTATTATTTTCAGTGATTTATATATTTTTCTTGTATGTTTATATTCTATGAATGGATACCTTTAGCACTAATACTTATTTGTGTGGCATAATGTATTATTATTTAATAAATACATTCTAAAAAATAAAGAATTTCTCAGAACTGTCAAAAATCTTCCACCGCCCTTACTTTAATTTCCTTATATTTTATTTTTACCCTAAATAATCTTTTCATATTGCCAAGAATAAGTATCCTATTTGCTTATTTGGTGGTTTTATATTTTGGCTTCATAATGTTCATTGGATTTAAGGGTATTATCTTTAAAAATCTATTTGAATCACTAATTTTAGTTCAATTCAATTCACCACCGTGGATAACCTCTTGAATGAGATGGCATTGGCTTTGATTTAGTGGGAGTGGTAAAGAAAATATACAGAGAGAATAAATGCAAAGTGAAAATTGGCTCCTTCATGTCAGATAAATTTAGAAACAGTAAAGGCCTTCAGGGATGCTGAAGTTTGTAAGTTCCCAACCTTATTTAAAGTATATACGGATAATTACTTCAGGCATTTATTTCGGAGATGACCAAGTGATAATCAATTTGATATTGGGTATATGTTTAGAAAATTAAACGTACAGTATGAACAATGGGGTCTGAATATTAATTATGATACAACAAAATAAATATCGTCAGAGAACGATGATTTGAGTGACCCAGTTGTGACACAGCTTTGTAGGGTTCACCGATTTTGATACCTTGGCTCAATACTTGAAATCAATGAGAGTGAAGGATGTCGAAAAAAGAGTGACAAACGGGCGGAGAGCCATTGCTATGCTTAATTCAGTGCTCTGGAGCGAAAATATTGATACTAAAGCAAAGAAATTAATGTATGAGGCACTGCTAGAGAGCGTAATGCTGTATAGTTCTGAAACGATACCGCCTCGAGAAATCACACAGCAAAAAATTTCTATCTGTTACATTCATCCATCTATTTGTGGAGATGGATTTTTGGTGGAGGTTGGCGAAGGTCTCAAGGACGCGAAGAATAAAAAATGAGACCATTAGAGAATGAATGGAAGTTAAGAATAATATACTAGAGATAATGGAAGAAAGATGATTAAAGTCGCATATGAAAAGGATGAATAGCATAATGAAACCAAGGTTGGACACATACCACGAACCTCCGCTCTCCGACAGGTGGCTTGGCATAGGGGATCTTAGTGAAGGAGAAGTAGTCCCTGCCATCCCTAGACTTGAGGACCTGCCCCTTCATGGTACCATAGGAGGTGGTGACCTGGGGGTTCTCTCCTAGGACGAGGTGCCCCAATGCCGCAACACACAGCACAGCCGCAGCATTGTCACTAAACATCAGAGCTCTACAACTATCACACATATATAATAGCACTTATCTTTTTATCTGTATCGATCACGAGATACCTGCATAATAGGTTTCTAGAATTCTCACTTCACATTAAACAAAATAAATGAAAATCAGTGTTTTTTTTCAGTTATTCTATTAACATTAGGTGTTATTAATAAACTAAATGTTTCTTGGCCGTCTTTCATATCATATAAGTGTTAACGTTTTCAGCATCATTTCACCGGTGAGGGAATTACATTAAATATAAAGAGAATGTTTATGGTAAATATTTATGGTAAATCTGTAGCTTAATGAGTCAAAATATAACCATGTATCTTTTAAATTCAGTTCCACCCCACTTTTATTGTTTAATAGGATTCTGATTTTTTTTTAACTTGAAGGTCATCTAAAGAATCCAGTCACTACAATTACCGTCAACGTTTCGTATTACGTCTTCAGCAAGTCCTTTAATCATGACCAGTGTATAGGATTTCTATGCATTAAAGATCTCGAAATCGTGATGTAAAGACAAATAAAAGCTTGAGTTCAAGCAAGAATCTTCATTATTGTTTAATTTATTAAATCACTACATGGAAAAATTATCAGACCTTGTTTTATTGTCACTTCTGGATAAAAATAAGGTTTAACCTGTTATAACGTTATAAAATACCGATTCTAATTCAACAAGAAATAAACGATTAACCTATTTAAATTTAATAATACATTAAATAAGGTAATTAATATAAAATATATATATATATTTATTTATATCTACTTATGAAAAATAAATAATAGCATCACAGCGCCTTATTCCCTCACTGAGCTACCCTTACACACACACACTCACATATATATAAAATAAGGCAAATTTAGTTCAAACGTTCAAATTTATTTATATAGTCCTATTTCACAGCCCAAAAAGTGAAAAAATGCAATATCGGAAAAAAAATCCCGCTACTTCCCCCCCAAAAAATAAGAGATGATAAATAAATATAAACAATGAATTTCTACATAGATCGTGGAATGGATGGATAATCGCTACCATGTGTGCGCAAATCGCAAATGTGCAAAACTTGTTTTTAATCATCACTTGCACATCTCTTATGTTTTCTAATCAAAGTAATCATGTGGTTTGATCTTAATCAAGATCTACTGATTGATACAACCCACCATGAAGAATGTAATGGTGTGAAATGGGGCGTCTAGAAGCTTCAGACATGATAGAAACATACTTCATTATTCATAGTCCTCTCTTGGGATTTACCTAACAGATCTGGTAAAATCACAAATTTCTTGATGTAGCGCCCGCTAAACGTTGAAACAGACGATGGCTTGCTGAAGAAGCATAGATTAAAAGAATAATTAATATTGTAGATTTATTTAATTTTGTTTGTTTGGTTGAATGTGCACAATAACAGGCCAAGACGCCTGTTGTATTGAAAAATTGGAGGAGAAGATACAGAGGAGGACCGAGAGTGTGATGGTTAGAAGTAGTCGAGGAGAACGTCAAGCTGCTTCGAGTTAGGAGATGGAGGTCACCAGCAAAAGATGAGAAGGACTGTCTTAAAGTCCTTGAGAAGGCTCAGGAACTTGTAGGACCGTTAGTGCACAATAATTTAAATCTATATGTAATCTATCTATATGCCAAAGATTGTCAATAAACAAGATAAAAATATTAAAAAATCTTGACCACATTTCATGAAAGATTCGCTGAAATCGTTCTGCATTACAATTTTAATTTAATTTGCGAATATCTTTAAAGTATATCGAATATCTTCTGTTATCTTTTTAATGATTATATAATGTATTCGTAAAAATCATACAAATTATACCATCGCCTGATTTCAAAACACTCGATTTTATTACCCTTCTCAAGAAAAATTCTTTACTTTCAATTCTCCATCTTAAAATATATTCATATCTACTAAAAATATTGCGGTATGTGAAAGTGGTATGGTACGCTCACCGTAACCAGTTGATTACATTTACTTCAATTTAAGCCTTAGTATGAATTAGATAACCATAATTACAATTCGTCGATTTAACCTGAAATTTACTTTTTTTCGATATATCATTCGTCAAAATCCATCGCTTCTGAATGCCGAAAAATGGATCGGTTGATCAACAATAATATTTATTATATAATGGATTTGTATTTAATTTATTATGCCAATTCCTTCCATGGATTTCAGGGATATTGACATAACAATTATGCTTTAATAGCTATTACATTTATTTGAATGTATATAAGGCATTTATGTAATTAAACTACTGGGTTTAACATATTGCTATATTTTATTGCCATTATAATTTTATATATTAAGGCCGGATCTTATACAACGAATTTTTAGTGGATCAATGAATTTGGTATGACTATTACAACTATTTTAGCTATGGATTAGATGGGTGGTGGCTGAAAATGAATTATTTATGTACTTGCTGCATCTCTCCGTTTTCTCTCATCTTCCTCTCCTCTCTTTCTAAGCCTCTTGAGGATCTACTCCATCTCTGTTGTGGAAATCTCTCAAGTAGAAATGATTCTTGCAGGAACTCTGCATGTCTCTACTGTCTTTGTTTACTTCTAAAGCCAGCCAAGAGAAAGCAGCAGTGCTACTTGCTTTTCCAATATATTCAAATTTAAATAAAATGGGAATATAGCTGGGTTCCCTTAACAATTGGAATATTTTATTTTTATTAATATCATCCGTCTTTATATCTAACTGTCTTGTAATTTAACTTCAAGAATGTTAGGGGGGGGGGAGGTGGCCGAATGGGCCTAAAGCGTGTGCACAACACCGCGAGTTGCCCGGCAACCAGATATATGAAGTTTTGAGAGACAAAAATACGAGTTCGCGTCCCGGTGCCGGAGGAGATTTTAAATTCCCCGTCCTTACCCTCCGGCCCGGGGAAATCCCGTATAGCCTAAACGGCAGGGTAGGGAAGAACCAAAAAAAAAAAAAAAAAAAAATGTACGGAATATATATTCTATGGAAAATAGTATAGGGAAATTATACTGATAAATCATAAATAAATAAACAGTTCTTTTGTAAAAATAAAAAAAATTAGTTTTTACATACGACCTTTTGCATTAACAGCAGCGATATTTGGCACATTAAATAGCAACTCATCATCAATATGGACACCTCTTTTCTTATTGTAATTAACAAACAACCAATCAATGTCGTTAACTTTTGGCTATGCAGTGTCATTAATATATATATTTTTTTTATTACTTAATAGCTTATTTATTGAAAAATGTTACAATCTGTCTCAAGGAAAACATTAACAATAATTAATAATACCACCACCTATTTGATTTATTATATAGATTTTCCTGTAGATAGAGCGACATATTTAAAAAAGGTGATAATAGATATCAAGATCTACAAAAAAAAATCATGTAAAAAATTTTATATTTTCCAGCAGAAAAGTAGGAAATTTAAGATTAGTGTTTTGTTAGGCGAGACACGCTTTTTGTTGAAAGGAAGCGATAACATAAAATATATTTGATTTAAGTTAAATCTTAACAAAACATTGCTCTATAGTAAACTAGACAAAAATTTTTTTTAAAACAAAGGATAGTTTGTCATTGTTAATACTATTTAAACTGGACTTTAGGGCGGACAAACAAAGCTATGTTTCGTTTAAAAAAAGTCATAATTTTTTTTTTTATTGCTCTTTAACTATAATTTTATTCCACTTTATTACAAACTCTTTTAAAAATTACAAAAAACTTTTACGTTCAATAAGTTTTACGTCCATTCTAATTAAGTTGAGGTTTATTAGAAAAAAAAAAATTGAGATTCAAGTTGTGTAAATAAATGATTATGATGTTATTTTCTATCCAGTCACCTAAAAATACCCGTGTTTTCAGCAAAAATGGCTACAATTAACTGTTGAAAAGCGTTTATTATAGGCTGTGATATTGGAAGCATAGTAATAAAAATACTTGTCTAAAAATTAATTTTATTAATTAAAATAAAAAAATTAACGATAATGATTTTTCAAATATTTTTCATGCCAAGTGGTCATAATATTGTGTTTTTCTCCCTGATTTCGGTCATATAAATTAGTACGTATTTATAAGTAACAAAATTATTATTTCTAACTGTGATACTTACGTTTTCATGAAAATAATTGAAGCAATCAGTAAGTTTCTCTATTTTTAACGTAAGTTTTAACGTTATTAAAAGCATTATTAGTTTTTACATACTTTTGCATTAACAGCAGTGATATTAGGCACATTAAATAGCAACTCATCATCAATATGGACACCTCTTTTCTTACTGTAATTAACAAACAACCAATCAATGTCGTTAACTTGTGGCTATGCAGTGAGGGATGTCATTAATATATATATTTTTTTATTACTTAATAGCTTATTTATTGAAAAATATTACAATCTGTCTCAAGGAAAACATTAACAATAATTAATAATACCACCACCTAATGTATTGTAATAAACGTAATCCAACATAACAACGTAGCTGATATAGATTGAAATAAATATGGTCAAGAAATAATAAAACACAGCCTTATTCTATGGTATTTGAAATATTATCAGGTAACCGAATGTCAAGGTAAAATATTTTTATAAAAGTAACAATGAATGATGCGAGGATAAACCAGGAAGATTTCCATACAATAAAATCTAATAAAAAATACTCATTTATAGTTTTATTAAATATATATTAAGCGCTTTTCCATTAAAAGAAATTAAGATTAAATTACATAGAAATTATAAATACAATTGATATTTCAGGCTTGAAAATCCTCAAGGAAATAGTCCTTTCAAGCTGGTTAATGTACATAAAGCTGCAATAAAAAATAACGATGACTGAATCGTTGGCGAACTTGAAGGCTGATCCGGAAAAATACTTTTCCAGAAATCGAGTATCTCATGATATTGGGTATAATTCCTTACAGTAACTCCTGAGTCTTGTATATCCAAAAAATATTGACCTTGGAACTGAGACCACTGCACCATCCCAGGGCTGCTTGGATTTCTGTAAAATA